TTTTTTTTAAAGCTATATTCTTCTCTCAATTTCACCTCACACTACCTACCTACCACTACTCCTAACTGTAGGCATACGGGGAACCCCATAGCAGCCAGAACCGTGTTCACAAGAGAACATGCGGGGGCTGCTCCTGACCTGCAGGTGGGTGATACCTGCTAGGGGACACCCGGTAGCATCAGGGACCATGCCAACAGGACCAATTCTTGTGCCTCCCCTCAGGTTCCCTCCCCGGCGAACATCAGCAGACTCTGCTCAGTGCCGATTGGGGAATCCAGTGGTCTATCTCTAGGTGGCGGGCGCCAAGCGTGCCCAGGAAAGTACATGATGCCAATGGGGATTGAACCCATGACCTCCTGAATGCCACTTGCGAGCCTTACCAACCGAGTTAGGCCGCTGGATTAGCCCAGCTCATTGCTCGCAGTGGAGCCCCACTTCTTATTTAATTTACGGGAATATCGCCGTGCTTACGGTTCCTTGATTTGTCCTATGTTCTGTCTCGCATCCACATGACCAAAGCTGGGTAATGGTCGCGGTAAAATGTTATTTTGTAGAACGGCCTCTGGGCCCGGTTTCCAGCAGGTGAAGCTCCTGGCCAATGAAAAGGAGCCCTCTACTGCAATGCCTCAATGTGGTTGGTGCTCTTATCCCCAACGCAGTTGCAGGCTTGGCCAACTTGAAGATGTTTCATAAACCACCTGTACATTTCCCAGCCATTTATCTCCGACCCGGCTCGATACACGCCGCAACTTTCAAGGGTCAGCCTACCAGACCAAAACTGGTGGCGACACCAGTCAAAAGAAGGCCTGCACTGGTTCGTTTTTCGTTTTTTTGGCGCGCAGTGGGTTTTGAGGCGCGGCAAGGGAAGGGTCAAGAGTACTGGTGGTGTAAGAAGGGGGGAAAAAACATGCGGAGGTGCAACCTGGAGGGCGTGGCATCATGCTTTGTTGATGTGTTGGAAGCATAAAAAGAGAGGGCCCAAATGTAGATGTCTGATGTTATGATCAAGAGGTCTGGACCCCAATATGGAAATATTATGGATGCATTTTGTGGGGGTCCACAAAAAAAAGGAGACAGTAATAAAGATATCGAATCCCGGGAGCAGGGGCCTCCATTGCTTCCCCCACCATGCCAGTTCTGGTGAAGCTAAGTTGGGGGCGGGGGGGGGGCGGGCGCCCCCCCCCCCCCCTCCTCCTCCTCCTCGTTTGTCGGATTTGATGACGCTCACGGACTGAGGGCACACTCAGGGCCTCGCCGCACCACTGTCGAAAGGCACAAAAATTCGACGGCTGTCCGAACAAATTTGACAGCCTCCATTCGACAGTTTGCCCCCCTTTCGCCACACAGCACTGTAGAGTGCACGCACTTGTGAAAGCAAGATGGAAAAAGACGAACGCGCCTGAGGGTACAACAAGCATTAGTCCATCGCGACCTTACCCCACTCACCAAATTTCGAAGGGAAGTCGACGGCGCAGCCGAGGAGTGTCGAAATCATCGGAGTAGCAGGCTGGGGATTGAACAACTTTCGACAGGAGGTGTCGAGAAGCATTCTCTGACAACTGGCAACTTTTCTTCACATCTCCGACTTCGACAGCCTGTGTGGCGAAGAGAAATTGTCGAAAATCGCATTTTCGACAGTGGTGCGGCGAGGCCCTCACACTAGCACTTTTTCTGGCAATTTTGCATATTTGTGGTTATTCCACTCTGATAGATTCAGGGAAAGTGCAAGTGCGAGTATGTAGCTCAGTGGTTAGAGCACCCTTTGGAAATGCGCATTGTGGTATAAGATTGCAGGTTCAAAACCCCGCAGCCTTGCGCATGGACACCGGCAGGGCGTTAGATTGACGCATGGCTGGACGCACATCCCCTTGGGCTGACGCATGGTACTATTACAGACACTGCCTGCGCACCACTCAAGGGTAGTCCACGGTGTTGTATGTTGGTTGTGGGTTTCACAGGGTTTGCTTGGGGTGTTGGTCTCCGGTGTTCTGATGTTCTCCCCAGTCTGGCATATCACACGATCATTCCATTTCCGGTAGTTGCTCAGAGTCTTGGATCACATGTTACAAGGTCACGGGTTCAAGCTTGGTTTGGTCCTTGGGGGGGGGGTCCTTGTCCACCTGGTCCGTTCTCTCCTAGATACATGATTCACAGAGTACACATAGCTTTCGGGCATACACGCATAGCTTGCGAATTATATATCGCTTACAGGTTACATACACAAGTTTCCACACATGATACTGTCTACACAGATTCACAGAATATATACACAAAAAACAGGCTGGGGAGCTAGTCACTGGTGGGGTCTAGTGCCTGCAGTAGGTTGGATAGGGTGCCATTGGGTGCAGTTCCTACTGACATTCGGATAGAACTGTCTGGTGGCTATATATATATGGGGCCTGTAGTTCATTGTCTGGGCCTGGCGTCTGAAGTTCCCGTTCGACAAGGTTCGTCCGATTCCGCTTCCACCAGGGCTTGGCAATCTATCAGCCCTGGTGCCTATTACTGCTGTTCGGTCCAAGTTGCCTGCCCGTTGGTAGGGCAATGGTCCTGAGTGCTGGTCACACTGAGGTAGAATAGTGGGATAGGGGGTGCGCTACTAGGAGTATTGACGTGAGGATGGGTTGGGAGGTGGTCTCATATTCCAGGACACCCACGGCTCACAGTTCCAGGTGATCACTGTGCACACACTGACTGGCCTCTACAACACCCTGGACTTCTTATAAAAAAGGAAAAAAAAAAAAAAAAAAAAGTATGCCCTCAGCCCTACACCCACGAATTGTTGAGATACGGGGCCTCGATGCACTACTCTCGAAATGCACAAAAGACAAAATTCATGGTGGTGTATCTTTCCATCTTCTAGCAGAAGATTCACTCTCGTTTTGCACATTTCGAGAGTAGTGCAGCGAGGCCCACGGACTTAAGTTAAGTTCGGAACCATTTGCTTCCTTTTTTTTCCCTTTTCCTTTCTTTTTCTTTTTTTTTTTTTGTTTTCTTTTCTTTTTACTTCATGTGCGGGGAAACCCACTTGACGAGGTGATAAGAGCAGCCTCGTTAAGTGGGCCCCGGCGTTGAAGGCTCCATCTATTGGTGGGGAGCAGCACCTGCTGGAAATCGGTGATGTGTCCGCTGGAAATCGGGTCCAGCGTCCCTATTCAATGATTAGTGGCGATGTCATTAGTGTGCATCTAATACTATGTGATTGTGTTCCTTTGGTCTGTTTATGTCATGCGAAGCCAAATCCGTGTTCCACCATATCAACCATGTTACTCTAAATAGCAGAGGCATTGATTACTTCCCTGCGACAGGGAAGGATTGACCTCCTGCCATCGAAACCTATCTCGAGCGAAAAGCGTTCTCATCTACCACCACCGCAAACAATCATCAAACACTCCAAAAAACATACCAGATACATGGAAACCCTAAACACCCTACCTCCCACCTGAGGGGCAATCAACTCCCCGTGTTGATTGAAACCGAGGGCCAGACAATTCCAATCGACTATCCTACACCCATCCGCTGCCAGACATCGAGGAGCGATTCAACAATGAAATAAAAGGGAGCGGGGAAAATAAAACGCTTTTCCAACTCTAATCCGCTCTTCCCCATCGTCGTCAGATGCCCACTCCTCTCCCCCTGTGATGATGTTGCTGGTTTTGGTGCTGTTGCCAATGCTGATGTTGTAGTTGTTGTTGTTGTTGTCATCGTTGTTGTTGTTGTTGCTGCAGTTGTGACTGTTGTCATTGTCGCCACTAGCACTGCAGGCGCTGTTATCGTTGTTGAAAGTGTTGATGATGATGATGCGTCTGTCGTTTCTGTTATTTTTGTTGTTGTTGTTGTTGTTGTTATTGTCACTGTCGTCTTCGCCGCTGCCGATGCTGCTAATGATGATGTCGCTGTTGTTATTGCAGTTGGCGCTGAATCCTTCATTGTCTTCGCAGCCGCCGATATAGTTGTTATTGTTGTTATTACCGCGGTTGTCTCCGCCGCTGCCGCTGCTGCTAATGATGATGTCATTGTTGTTATCGCTGTTGACGCTGTAACCTTCATTGTCTTCACAGCCGCCGGTATCGCTGATGTGGATGTTGTTGTTGTTATTGATGTTGGCACTGTTACCTTCGTCGCTGCCTGCGCCGTCTCGATGTCATTCTCGACCTCCAGCCGCTCCTCCAACAGATCGGAACCATTTGCTATGTTTGGTTATGAGGAGTTTGAGTCCGTTGTGCTATGCTTAGTTATGGGAGGGAAAGGGGGGGCTATGCGCCCCCCTGCCCGCACTCCTCCTCCATGTGGGCTTTGCAAAAGGGAATGGCATACTCCAATTTGTGCATGTGAGTGCAGTCAGATTCAACCAGTGTGGCCATGACTGCAGTCGCATACATTTAGGAAAGAGCTAGAGTGAGAGTATGCCCTCAGTGCGTCCTGTTGAAATGTACACTTGACTCGACTGGAGAACAAATCCATCTGCTACGTTATGTTGCCCCCTGCCCTCCCCAATCAGTTTTCAGTCGAGCCGTAATTGCAGTCAGACACATTTAGTCCTCACCGTCTGCCCACCACTGGCTGCTCGCCATGTTCCAAGGGTAGCGAACCAAAAACAAAGAGAGCAACACAAGACAACCAACAAGGCATAGAACGACAGGCAGCAGACAAAGGACAAAGGATGGAGGTCATGAGGGAGGCGGGAGGGCAGACGACGCACAAGCACACAAAACAGGCATACCAGAAAAAGTAAATACGAGTCCCAGAAAAACGCAAAGACCGGAAAACAATGAATACTGATGATGAGAGATTGGGCCTCGCTTCACTACTCACCAAATGTGCAAAATGAGAACGAATCTTCCACTAGAGCATGGAAAGATATGCCCGCCATATTCTTTGTCTTTTGTGCATCTCGTGAGAGTACTGTGGAGCGAGGCCCATTGTTTCCTCAGACTTACACTGACTCATCAGGAGGCTGAACCCTCGACAATATGTGGGGGGTTCATGAACCATTTGACCTTTTTTTTTTCTTTTTTCTTTTTTTTTTAAACCCCACTGGGTGCTAGACGCTTTGGGTCATGAACCACTTGAGCCTGGTTGAAAAGCAGACTGTCAGCGCCAACACCACAAGCAGAACACAGCAGGGGGCAACGACTCAGTGAAGCACCGGGCAATGCTGCCGATGCCGAGGCAACCCAACTGGTTAGCGCTAATTTGAAAGCTACTACTGTATGGATTGACAGGGCGAGCGGCGGACAGCAGGGCAACAAAACAGTGAACCGCAAAGCAGCACTTCAAAGCAATCCAATATACACGGCACACAGCAAGGCAACAACACAATGAAGCACAAGGCAACATCGATGACACTGTAGAACTACACGCCAACCACATCAGCTGCAAAGAACGACATAGGAGCAAGCGGGATGGGTGGCAAGCAGCGGCAGAGCATAGACAGTGCAGTCCACACATCCAACACAGAGCGAAGCAGTACAGCACCTACTTACACTGCAAGTGCATGCCACAGACTGTTGGTTCCCACCACCGCTAAGCTGGGGAGATCATCACCCACAGGTCACACAGACATCTCAAACTAAGCAGCCTCCCTAATATTGCAGTTGGCATTCTAAACGAGGAATGACCAACTGTTTGGCAATGTTCAGAGGTGCTCACTCAGACAGGCAAAACGTACTTGGAAAAAAATCAAAGGAAGAAAGACACCAAAAAAATACGAAGAGAAACATACACAAAAAAGATCGAGTGTGTCTATTTGTGTGTGTGTGTGTGTGTGTGTGTGTGTGTGTGTGTGTGTGTGTGTGTGTGTGTGTGTGTGTGTGTCATGCGAGACCGCGCACACGTGTGTGTGAAAAATTTGCAATAAAAAGTTAAAAACAACCCACATTCATGGGAACAGTACTTTGCAGAGCACCTTCATGGCCACATCCAATACTTCGAGAATCTTTTCAGCATCTTAACTTATAGAATCACCTGAGCATAGAAAGTCTTCCTGCCCAGGAAGGAGTGAGAGCGAGAGAGAGAAAGGAGAGGGAGAGAGATAGGGAGAAAGAGGGGAAGGGGGGAGAGGGGGGGAAGAGAGAGAAAGAGAGAGAAAGGGGGGGGGCAGGGAGGAGGGGGGAGAGAGAGGAGACAAACGGTGTGAGAAGGGGGAGTGAGGTAAGACTTCATCCTCAGGGCCAATTAGCATTGGAGAAGGGGGGCGGCAAGTCCATTGAGGCACCGCTTGCACGAAAGCTGGCTCATCAGAGGGTAGAGAGTCTCTGATAGAGAAGAAGAAGTAGGAGGATTCGGGGGTTGAGCCAAGAGTGGGGAAGAAGAAGGAGGAGAAGAAGAAGAAGAAGACGACGACGACGACGACGACGGCGACGACGACGACGACGACGAAGAAGAAGAAGAAGAAGAAGAAGAAGAAGAAGAAGAAGAAGAAGAAGAAGA